AAATAATTTTTTCTCTATCCTCCTTAGTTCTTAGATGGGATCCCCTTAACAAAAGACAGATTAACAAGAGAAAAACAAACAGAAGCTTATTAACATGTGTGTCTCATATGTACATGGAAGATACCCAGGAAAAAATTAGCAATTTTCAGAGAGGTGGCTTAAATTCAGGCTTAAATACTATCTTAAGCTAAAAACAAGCACAGACACGTGTGGGGCCAGCCAGTTATGGAAAACTAATGGTAGATGAAGTCTGGCTGGTAAATTTGTTGTGTAGATTCCTCTGATGCCTTCTCCAAGCTAACAAGGGTCTAAAATTATCTCAGGTAATTTACCTTAGTCCCTCCTCATAGAGAGGAAAGGAGGGACACCTTTGTAAATTTATGTCCTGCTTTTAGGCAAACAGGGGAAGAGCAGAGGAAATTTCTCATATCTTCTTCTCAATTACCTTCAGCTCAAAGTAATCTGTATGTCAAAGAGGTATATTTTGGTATGGTGTTATTCTGCTACCCTTCACATACATTTCCATAAATAAAAATATCATTATTTATATCTGTTTAATTCTAAAAACAAAAGCAAAGGCCTCAGTTGTATCTGTTGTCAACTTCCTTAATTGGTGTGCTTAAATCATTACATAATAGTCTATTTATAAAAAGTAAAAGAGAAACGGCATTTGAGCTACTCAAAATTATTTTTTAAACTATTTTCTTGATCTATGGTTCAGCATTAACCCATGTATTCCAAAACTACAGGCTTTGATGTGGTAACTACAAGCTTCAACAATAAAAGTGATCTTTTATATTTATTTACTTTTCTCTTTAAAAAAATTTTGTTTTCCGTGTTGCATTTCCTTTAATGTCCCTAGTATGGGAAATTGAGTTGTCATGTGTCACAGGGTTTTTTTCTTTAATGTTTGAAGTCTAGTACTGAAAGGGATAGAAATCAGATGCAAACTTAAGATAAAATTTACAATGTAGGGGTGGAAAGGGTATAATACCCTTCATCCCCATTACAAGGTTCACAGTCGACACTCCTAAAACAAATGAGATATTAACAAGAAAAAAATCATAACAGATTTATTTAATCAAAGTTTTATATGATATGGGCACCCTCAAAAATGAAAATATAAAGATTCGGGGGAAACTGTCTATTTTTATATTTAGGTTTGACATATAATGGACAGTCGTGTAGAAATGAGGTTGAACAAAATGGTGACCTAATGGTAATAGACAGACCCAGCACGGCCTGTCTGTTCAGAGTCTTCTTGGCCTTTCTGTGTGGCATTTCTTCCTCCTGGACACAGGCCAGGACCCTTCAGAATGACAGTCTTATGATTTACTATCAGACAAGGTAGGTCAGAGAATTTCTTTATGGCCAACTCTTACACAGAAAGGGGACGGTCAGAGTAATATTTCTAGGTTTTATGGCTGACCTGAGGGGAGAAGACTTCTGGTTTCTACGACCTATCTTGGGGAAGAGAAATTCTAGTTTCTATGACCTGGCCTTGGGAAAAGGGAACAGGAGAAAGAAGAGCTGGAAAAGGTCAGAAAGAGACTTTGTTTATGAGAGCTTCCAATGTCCTTCAGTTCAAAGTACTCAGCACACCAAAGCACTGTACTTCTGGGTATCATTTTCTGAGCTGCAATAACAAAAAACTTAAGTAGTTTGGACTTTAACTATAATTTGGTGCTATTGATATTCTCACTGCAATTTTAATGCAGTCATTGCAAAGAATAGTACAGTTTATGAATATGTTATAGTTCCAACAAATTAAGTGAGAACTATGCTGGGAGATTTTATGAGTGTAACAAATATGTATGATTAGTTCATAAGTTGACTCTTGTTTTATTTGTATAATATAAATTTTAGTTAAAGTCATATTGAAAGGAACTTATAGTCTACAATAGAAAAGGTCATTGGGTAAGAATGCTTAAACTATAGAAATTGCTATGAATTTTGAGATGATGCTAGTTCATCCTGAAACTAATGAACTCTATTAAGATGAAAAATAATATATAGTTTTGTAATGATCAAATCTAACTGTAAGAAATTAAATCTGATGACCAAGAAAGAGAGCAATCAGTGTGCATCTCTGAAGTTTGCCTGCAGGTAAATTGTCTTGTGTTAAACTGAATTCACTAGCTAAAGCAATTATTTTTCTATAATATTTTCCCTTCAGAGAGTAACTGCAAATGATACATGTAGCAAACCAACAACCAAAAATATGATGTAAATGTTTTATTGTCAATAAAGTGCTGTAACTGTGAAGGTAACTGAATAGCAAACCAACAACTGGAAAAAAAAAAAGATGTAAAATGTTTTATTATTGAGATAATGTGAGACATGCTTATAATGTTACTTTGAATTCCTTGAACTGAGGAAAATCTAAAAGTGTATAGTAACTTTGCCTACTGACTTGCACCGGGAATGTTCCTAATGTCGTGATTCACTTCCCATACGCAGCAGCATGTTCAGGGTTTCCCCACTGTCCTTGGCCTGAGACCTCTACCCTGGTTACTGTCAGTGTCACTGTGCATAAATTCAAGGCTTTCATTTCCCACTGGCTTCCCCTAAGTTTTCAGAGTTCCAACCTCAGTTTGAGGCACTCAAGAGTGTCCTGGGCCACTGAGTTGGAGACTGTCCTCAGGGCGACCTTGGAATGCACAGACGTGGGTCAGTTGGTTGTGTGGTCAGCAGCCAGCCTCTGGCCTCTCAGCAAAAGCCACGATGGTGCTTGCTCCAGCACTGTCCCCGAGCACTGACAATGGAGCTCACTCAGAGCGAGTGGAGGCTGGAAAATCAACAATAGCTGACTTCACTCAGGCCCCCAGCTGCCCTGCCGTGAGCGCACTGGTCCAGGGGCCACCATGCCCTCTCCCACCACCTCCTTCTTGCTCCACATGGGCAGTTGTAATCTTTGGTTTACTTGTAAGTCAGGAACCTGGTCTCTCATCTATTCTTTTTAATCTATTGTTTATGACAAAAATAGTATGATCTTAGTCCTTGATAGATGACACTTCAGAAATACTAAAGGGTGTGTCTTGAGGATCAGAAACCTAGGCTGTTGTCTCCAAATATGCTCTGAAAGCATGTTTTGATATGAAAATTTAAGGTTTGTCTTCTTTGTTCTTTTGACTAACTGTGGTGCTATTTTCTGCAAACTACTGAGGAGGAAGGACCTACCTCCCTTCGGGATATGAGGAATGGTCAGGGGCTAGGAGGGAAAAGACAGCAGGTAATATGAGAGTACACATCATACCTAAAAGTACCAACTGCATGGGATCAAGTCCTAGCTCTACCACCAACTAGCTGTGCTACCTTGTGCAAATTAATTTTCTTCTCTGTGACTTAATTTCCTTACCTGTGTTATTAAATAGTTTCTCATGGCTACTGTAACAAATTACCACAAACCTAACAGCTGAAACAACAGAGATGTATTCTCCCACGGTTCTAGAGTCCAGAGTCTGAAATCAGCTTCATTGAGCTGAGTGCGAGGTGTTGGGAAAGCCATGCTCCCTCTGGAGCTTTAAAGGAGAATCTTTCCTTGCCTCTTCCTGCTTCTGGTAGCTACCAGCATTGCTTGGTGGTGGCTGCAACACCCCAGTCTCTGCCTTTATGGTCACATTGCTTTCTCCTCTTCTTCCTCGTGTCTAATCTCCCTCTGCCTCCCTTTTATAAGAATATATATGATTGCATTTAGGGTCCACTCAGATAATCCAGAATAATCTCCCCATCTCACAATCCTTAATTTAATCATGTCCGTGAAGTCCTTTTATGCCTTATAAAGTACAATTAATAAGTTTCAGGGATTAGAACATAAATGTCTTGTAGGGGGACAATTTTTCAGCCTACTATAAATTAGGTTGATAATAACAGAACCTACATGAACATTAAAGAATATGTTATATGACATTCACTTAGAGTGTTGTCTAGCATGCCGTATGCAGACAGTAAAAGTTAGCCCATGATGGTAATGCAGAAAAAAAACTGTTTCAAAATAAAAATTGCTTTTTAAATAACACATATGGAGGGTCTTGTCTATGGATTTTTTATATGTGTTAACTTTAAAATATAAATATTATTCAAATGATTGTATCTCCACGTTGAATAATTATAATATGTATAACATATATAAGTAATATTATAGTTCACGCATACGTTGCATATAGCCATTGTTGGCTTTGTCTTTTTTCACTTTTCACTTAAAGTTGAAATCATTTCAGCAATTTCATCCATCCCGAATTCTTCCCAAGGTCAAAGTCAAAGATGCGATGTAATATGATTGCCTCCTTTTGCTCTCTGTCTCCTGCCCACCTAGGATACAGATCTAATGACATTCAACATCTCTGTGCATCGCTCATGGTGGAGAGAACATGGGCCGGGCTGTGTGCGGAGAGTGCTGCCACCCTCAGCCCACGGCATGATGGACGATTACACATATGTTTCTGTCACGGGCTGCTTCGTCGATTTCCAGTACCTGGAGGTCATCCACAGCGCCATCCAAATACTACTCTCCGTAAGTGTCACTTTTGCGTCATTATC